TTTCCGACAGTTAAATCCAATACCTACCAGCATCTTCGGTGGAAGATGGATTAAAAGGCCAATGGCACCTCACTCATGATGTAATTATTTTTTTGCTGGAAAGACTGGGGCTCTTATAAGGAGAAGGAGTGGCGAACCAGATTTCGGTTTACCGATACATTTTCTATTTGTGTGTGTGTTATTTTCGGGTACCAAAATGTTGATTTTGCTTATATTTTCAACCCCATCGCATCGCTGATGAATAAGTTCTAAAGTTTACTAGTTTATTTTTTGCCGTTCTTCTGGTGATTCTTTCGCTTAAAACGCATTGATTGATTGGCCTTTTTGAACGAAAAACCAACGTGAATCGTCTGGCTGTTGCTCTGGTGAAAGATGAGGCCCCGCACTATTCAACTCATGCATTTTTAACGTTCATTGATCGATGTAACACAAAAAAAGCTCTCACGATCTAAACGGGATAATCAGGTTTCCGATACGATCGACAATTTCAATTTTCATACAGGATCGAATGCCTAATTTTCTAAACCGCCAAATTCGATACTTGTGATGTGAGTGTGAAGAATCACACAAAGACGTACAAAGTGCTTAGACATAAAGGAATGCTATTGTAGATTTTAATTGAATTTATTACCTATACAGTGTGTCCCAAAGGTAATGTCTAAATTTATTTAATGTTCAGCGGTTTGTTTTGTGGAAAAAAGATCAAATTCGGCAATTTTTATTTCCTTATGCGAATTATTTACTTGACTGATAAAACAGATTATTTTCGGCCCATATTTGAAAAGCGCGCAAAACGTCAGCATTTTGCGCTATTTGAATGAACGTTCCAGGGATTTTAGCTTCAACTGTCGTCTATATAAGTTGGAAATTTCAAGTTCCTGCTGGCTTTAGATTCGAAGTTAGGATTTTTTAGTTGAGAGCCTGCAGGTGCGTGAATTTTTCCATTTTTGAACCCATATTTGCTAAGCGCGCAAAAGTCACAATTTTGTGCGATTTCAATTTAGATCTCCGGAATTTTATATTCAACTGTCTTCTATATAATGTGAAAATTGCAAGTTTCTGCTTGTCTTAGATTGGAAGTTAGGATTTTTTATTTCAGAGTCTGGACTTTGATTGAGTCCGATGAAACCCATTATTTTCGCACTCACATTTGATAAGCGCTCAAAACTCAGGCTTTGAAGCGATTTGAATTAACTTTTGATCGTTTTTAGACTAAGCTGTCTTCTATTCAACGCCGCAATTTCAAGTTTATACTGGCTTTAGAGTCAAAGTTAGGATTTTTTCATTAAGAGCCTGCAGTTGCGTAAAACCGTCCATTTTTCGACCGATGTTTGCTGAGCGTGTCTCAGAATTTGGTGCTATTTAGATGCACTTTTCATGGATTTTAGTTTGAAATATCCCATTTCCAATTTATCACGCATTTTTACGAAAAACAGTCTGCGGAATTTTCCTTCCTGACTTAATATAGAACAAGCTTACCTCTTATTGTTATTGAATTTGGGCTTGAAGCTTCTAAGGGACTGTCTGGGTTCGAGCCAGGGTCCGCTTTCGCACTGAAAAAAACGTGTTATTTAGTTGCTAACGCAGAGTAAGAATTAGTCAAAAGCATTAGATAATAGAGGAAAACTTAGGAAAAGGAGGACACAGTTTTAGTAGTGGTAGGAGACTTGAAAACCATCGGTTTTTGCCAAAAGCCAGTGAAATTATTTGCAACCATGCAGCGTGGAGTTTTTCTTTTGAAGTGGTTCTTGGGTCCCAACCCCAAAAGTTTAAATATAAGCCAAATAGCTCGGAACCAATGGGTTTTTCGGATTTTTAGGCCGTCGTTCGGTAGAATTTCTCTTTCGTACCGTTCAGTTCTGCGGAAGAACTGAACTCGTGCTTGCGAAACGTCAGGAAGAAATTCTACCGAACGACGAGAATTTATTCCTGGCGTTTCGCAAGCACGAGNGCTTGAACGCTTACACTGTTCTCATCAGAACCTGTTAAGGTAAGCGTTCAAGCAAACCACTTTTGAAGATGCAAGCCACTCGAGTTTGCGAAACGTCAGGATAAAACTCGTGAGTTTCAAAGGGAGCATTTTTGAATATTAAGAAGAAGTTCTAAAAAACCGGTGTATTTATAAAGCACAAACTTGTGAAGTTTGAAATATAAATGCTTTAACTGAGGGAAAACTAAAACTCGTTGCAATGCAGTTGAGGCCAATGAAACTTCCCTTGCAAAAGGAAAACTCTTGGATGCTGGAATTTGTGGAGCGGAACACTTTTATTAAAAACAGATCCGATCGGGTGCAAAACAACGGATTTCTCCCCAACAATTCCAGAGCTTTCATGCAAAATTGGGCATCTGTTTTCAACTTCCCGTGATCCAAATGAACCGTTCTTTGTATGCAAATTGGGGGGCCATTCATCTATTTCCCCCCAAATGTTGCGGCAACATCGCGCCCGAAATTCACTCACCTGGCGAAGGTCGAATCTGCATTTCCCTTCGGCCGGGACTCGGACGGCTCCTCGACTGGAGACGACGACGCCGATTCTGGATCTCCTGGTGTGGTTGAGCTGGCTACTGCCTCCATCACCAAAGAGCGCGGCCTCCTGGGGGGCCATGATGCCCCCCTATCTGTGGCACATCGCGCGGGGCCCGAATCGCATCTTTTCCTGCTGGCGAATTCGACGACAAAGAGCCCGATCCGGTCGCTGCTGAACTGGGAATCGGGGTGTTTGGGGCCCGGCTGACGGGGCCGATTTTCGGCTGCGCAAGTCCGGATAAATCAGAACGGGGTTTGTAGGGAACAGGGATAATGGACACGATTGTTCCGGATCCTGTCCTGATTAGGCCGAGCGCGATCTGCATTGTTGTTCACGGTCAGTGTCTTTTCCATCATCTTCCCTGCGAAGCGTACTGATTCGTCTATCTTTGCTGGTCAAAATATGCAAAACAGCCCGGATCTTCTATCTAATCAGTTTCAAGCAATGACTTAATAGATATGTAGTATTTTTTATATATAAGCTGCTTGTTGGGTGTTTCGCCTCAAAAATGTTTGTCTTTAAAAAAGACAGAATTTCCTCACGTCTTTTATTACAGATTGATAAATAGTGCAAGAGCACTGTTTTGTTGCACAAGTTTGTATAAAAAATGAATCCGCCTCAACAATATAGAACTTATCTACAACTTAGGGTTATTCACGCTATACGGCACGGAATTTTGCGGCTAAACCGTTTGATTTTAAAAAGTATTATTTTATGAATTGTCCGACGCCTACCGAGCGCACATTTTAGAAATATTTTCGTAATGTACAGGGCGTCCCAAAAGCTCTAAAGGTATCAAAGTTGCGTTTTTTAAATGGAATGTCCTGTATATTATTGCATTTTTGGATTCGCTGAACAAAATAAGTGTC